CCACTTGGGGGGGGATTATTTAATTAGCAATCAGTGGAATACATATTGGCTGCAATTATCTTTTTAAATTATTATGTTTTTCAATTTTATTTTAGTGCAGTGTATTTTTTTTACCTATGAACAGTTTATTAGTCAGAAAACGTATTGCTTGGTGGATGTGTTTTTCCAAAGGTTTGAAATAGGGGTACTCATCTATGAAATGAATTAATGAGTCTGGCAAGAATTCTTTGAACTGTGCAGTTATTTTTGAAAAATTTTCAGCAGCCAGGGCTGCTTTATTTCCTGGAATTGTTGCATCTCCAGTGGTATATGTACCCATCTGTCACCGTGCCAGTCACCCATTTCCTACAGATAAGCAGATGGCTCAGTACCAGCCATTTCAGGAACACACAGCTGGACAGTTGGATGGGCTGGAAGGGTCTTCAGTTCATGTACAAACCTCTTCAGGTCTCAGCCAGTGCAGAAGCTTCTGCTCCTCGTTTTGCTGCTCCAAGGCCAACAGATATTGGTCTGATAAGTGCTCTGATGTAGCTGACTCAGTCATTGTCTGGACCCCAGACAGAACAACTCTATCACATTCAATCTTAATTTAATAGTCTTAATATATTGCCTGCTGACAGAAAACGGTAGGTAGGAGCTTGGCAGAACATGAAACAGAAGTTGGTAAGCCTGGGTAGAATGTTTAGAACTTGGCTTTAGTCATGCTAATGAGATGATGAGAAAATATCAAAGGTGGGAAGGCTTGAAAGTAATAACAGTAAAACTCCTGGGCTTTCCAAAACCAGGCTTACATCAGCCTGGCCAGCCTGACTGCAGACAGCCAGCAGCTGCATTAATTTACACAAAGTTACCTTATTAGCAATAGGTATAGCAGCTGCTTCTACAATTTGGTTAATTTAGTGTTAATAATACTTAATGACTTTGTTAGGGTAATGTGGAAATGTTACCCTAGTGGTAAGATGATGATAATTTAAAAAAAAAGTGTTTTGCATCTTTTTCTGTCTTGAAGGTTTTATCTGCAAATTCTCTAGAGCTGTTTGTATTTCTTCTCTTCCAAGAACAGTTAAGGATTTTCACCTTCAGAGATTTGCCGTCCGTTAGATCTAAACACCCCAGTGTTTAGTTGAATCACTTATTTTTCCCCCACTTAATACCATAGAGATTTCACACAGTTCATATTAATGTTTTCTCCCAGTCATGATTACTCTGTGTTAGTGATCCTACGTTCAGAATTTTGAAGTAACAATCTTAGGGTAAGAGGTCGCTTTCTATGGCAGTGGCTCCCTGAATTTCATCAATCCCATCAGGGAGTCCATGAAAAGACTGATCGTGGGATGAGTCCCAGGCACTGCTGTGGAGGGCTTTAAAAGAAGAGTTGGCTGAAGCATCTATGAGAAATCGTGAGGTATGGGCCACTTTTTTCTTAATAATTTTTAAATAAGAATAGGCTCTCAATTTTAAAAGCTTCAGGCTCTGGAAATTCTAAATTCTGATGGATGTTTTGCAATGGGCCTTGAGAGAGCGGGTCAGGGCAGCCAGGCCCAGCTCCTGAGGGTGGCTGTGCTCGGTGCAGGAGGGAGCAGGGTGGGATCCTTGGGACAGGACGGCTCGTCCAAGCCCATCTGAGGCCCTGAGCCGTCTCCAGAGCAGCACAGGGCTCTGGAACGGGGGTCTGGCTGCAGCACCACGGACACCTCAGAGCTGCCCTGGGGTGGATGGGTGTGTCCCAAAAAGCTCTAATTCCAAACTCCTAAAAAATCGGGAATGCTTAGAGAAAGGTGGGTTTAGCTGTTGTTTGCCTCCAGGTTCCCAGTCTGTTCAGGCCCTGTGGAGGAGCGTTCTATGCCCCGTTTCCTTTGGCTGGAGCCCCTGCGGCCATCGCTGCGTGAGGGCCGAGCGCGGGCCCCTCAGGGGCCAGTGGAGTGAGGGGGACAGGGACTGGGACAGTGACAGGGACTGGGATAGGGACAGGGATAGGGACAAGGACAGGGACAGGGACTGGGATAGGGACAGGGATAGGGACAAGGACAGGGACAGGGACTGGGATAGGGACAGGGATAGGGACAAGGACAGGGACAGGGACTGGGCTCCCACCGCCACCCTGGCGGGGCCAGCGCCTCAGCGAGGGGTGTGAGGGCGGCGCAGGGCCCGGCGGTGTTTCTCAGGCTCGGCCTGCGGGGTCTGTGGGGCCGGGCGGGTGAGGGGGCAGGAGGAGACCCTGCCTGCCGGGAAAGGGGAGCAAGAAGTACCCTGCAGTGCCCTGGGGCTGTGAGCTGCTGCCTCTCACCTGCCCTGCTGGGCTGGCTGGGCGGTCACACCCTGCCTTACCTTGCAGGGACTTGTCGTGGTCCGTGCCCTCCGCCCGGTCCTGCGCTGAGAGCTCTGTGTGCTCTTTGAGTTCCACTCTGTAAAGCCGGAGGCTGAAATTGTGCACAGGTCAATGCTAGGACAGTGTCGTGGGCTTCACTCGTTTGAAATGGTTTTTAACTGCTAAATGTGCCAAGACGTTTATGTCCTTGTGGTGCTTACTTATTAAAAATAACTATCTTGTTTGTGCCAGCAGCTGCTGTAAAAATGCAGTCTGCTGCTTTAACATAATATGGTGTTAAAAGGAATTGTTATTTAATATTTGAAAACTAACGTTCAGTTAATGGTGATAGATTAATTACATGTAGTATTTGTATATTGTCATTGCTGCATAACATGAACTTTAATGTCAAGATGATGAAAACCTGGGTTAGCGATGGTCATTTGAACCAAAGGGGGGTATTGGTTGCATGGTTTCATGTCGTGCAAAATGCTGCTTAGATAATTTTGTCGCTTTGTAGCTCTGTTTGCTGCCTTATGCTGAAGAACACAAACCCTTCTGTTTGCCTACTTCTTCCTTTTGATGTCATCTCATTGTTGCAGGCTTTTATATCACTTCCTGGCCGGCTCTGCCTGGGACAATGGTTTTGTTTTTTGAGGGGTCTGTGAGCTCTCTCAGAGGCTGCCGAGGGATTCTTGGAATGTTACAAACCCAAGCCTGCCATGGGTTATCCGGGGGCAGCTGTAGGACCCGGCAGGCAAACCCTTCAGCAACATGTGGGGTTTTTGGGTCTGACAGACTTGTTTCAGCCATTCAGACAGAGGAGTTCTGTGAAATCTGTAGGAAGTCTCTTCTGTTTTGTTCCCCTTGAGCAGTGGTTTCAGCACGGGGACAGTCCCACGGCCAGGAGGTTTCTCATCCTTTCTAATGGTTTGCAGTGAGAGCAGCAGAGCAGGGTTGGGTGTTAGGCAGGACCCCAGGGTTGGGTGTTAGGCAGGACCCCAGGGTTGGGTGTTAGGCAGGACCCAGAGCAGAGCCAGGTCCCTCCCAGGCAGGCGCTGGAGCTGAGCTGTGCTCAGGAACAACCTACACGGCTGCCAGGGAGCCAGGAACACCACTCGTGACAGGGCACTGGACAGTGAGTTATTGTTCACATCCATCTCCTATCCTACACTTGGGGTTGAGGCAAAGTTTAATGAATAATAAACCTACACAATTTGGGGAGGGGGGGGGTCTGGTTTCCTTGAATATTTTGAGATATTTTTGCTTTATAACAGAATGTCTGGAATTCAGCAAGATACAAGTTTAAAGAGTGTTTTTAACCAAGAAAAATAGTTGTTGTAGCACAGAGTGGCACTTAATGCTGCAGCAGTTGCCATCACTTAGGAAACACAGATTTACTGATGTGAAGAAAAGCATAAACAGTGTGTATCATGCTGTCTCGCTGCACAGTCAAAGAAATTCTAAACAAAAGCATTTGTAACTTCAGAGAGTGTTATTTGCAGACTTCTCAATTCTTAGACATCTATGCTGAGTCTTCCTTAGAAGAAAAAAGATGAAAAGGGCTTTTATGCTCTCAGTATTCTCTGTTGCTGTGCTGGGTTCCTGGGGAGGAGATCCCCAGGTGAAAACACAGCACAAAGAAATAATGTAGCTTACCACAAAAACCTGTCCTTTTAGGTTCTTTAGAGGAGAGTATTTATAATTCCAGCCAGCTTCACCATCAGTTTAATGTTTCAGAATCCTCTGGTAGCAACTTATGTAGCACTTACACAAAAGAAGGTACAGATTCTTAGACTTTTTTTTTTTAAAAAGCATAAATAAGCCATAGATATCTAATTGCTGAGGTAAAGACTGTACCCTCTCATCTCTTTCTTTCCTATGAAAACAGAATTTTTAGCTAGTTATTTGCCAAATCTGTTAATGAAAATGCCTTCCCAAATATACCAACGCATTTTAACAGAAGGGGCCTGTGATAGTTTCTATTTATTACAGAAGAATGAACTCACAGTTTTGCAAGTCTTCTGCTATTGTCTTTAACTTTTCCTTTCAGCTGGTTTGAGTTTAAAAATAGTGAGTCATGGGTCCTGTGCAGTGGGGAAAAACAAGCCCTGGGACATTACTTGGTGTCTTCATATTTGGCAGAATTGGCAAACCAACAGAGGGTGAGGAAGAGGGACTGTATCTAATGCTGCCTAAATTAGTCTGATTTGGATTCTTGCTACCAAAATCTGCGGGAAGGCTTTAGAAGGATGTATGCTCAGACCCCCTACAGGTGTTTGAAGGGTGTTGCCAGGATTTTGCCAGAGGACTGGAGGACAGCTTGGGGAGCACACACTGTTCCATGGGAAGAGCAAAGCCTGAGTGAGATGTGCCTTCAGCTGGACATGGAAACTGCTGAGCCGTTTCTGAGGTACTGAAATACTCTGGGGTATAGACTGGGTGCATACCTTGGACAGGGACAGTCATATCCCTTTAGAATTTGGTGAGTTATCAAAATGGAACCATTTCCTGGATAATGAACCTAGTGAGGATGCAATTGCTAGATGATGGTATTTATTTCAAAACACCAAAGGATGCAACATTTCCTATGTGAAATAGGGCACTTTTTTTTTATGAGGTCCAGACTGTCAGCATTAACACCGAGCAACCTTTCTCCACAATAGTTTTCTCAAAAACAAGCCCAGTCCTGTTGCCTTGAAATTCTTTTATTCTGTTCTTCTACAGTTAAGCTTTCCATTTCTGTTCACAGGCAACTGGATGTTTTTTCCCCAAAGCTTTCACACACAGCTTTCCCCTCAAGTCAGACTGTCTGCTCCCCACCCCCATTTTGCAATGTACAGTTCCCATCTGCAGCATTTTCAGTAAACGTGGGATCAACTGAGTATACAGAAAAAGCTTCTATAAAATTTCCATTAAAAAAATAACAAGTTTTTATTTACAAAGTGTTTGCTACTACAAAGTAATATTTCCTATTGGTTCAAACATACTATTTGCTAATGCCAGTGTTCCTATTAGGAAAGTAAAACTTTGTATATGCATTTCTCTTTATATCTTTGTCAGTGTTTAAAGCACATAAAATACTACCACACTCTTTTTTACACTACTCCTGGCCATGTACAGTGTAGTAGTAGAAATTAACACTATTTGATCAG